TTATACTTTTTATTTTTCAAAATACCAAACAGATCATGCATTTTAGCCATTCCTCATTTCGCTCAATTTAACACTGTCTTTGCATGGGCTGATTCTGTGAGAACAGCACCATCTACAGGCCTGGCATATGTACTACATCGTCTCCAGCGCTTTCGAACGACAATGTCCGTGGCTGTCTCCTCCTGATTGGTGGAGTTGGCCCAATAGCCGTAGCTCCACTTCTGTGACGTCATAGAAGTGTTCAAATCTGGATCAGTCTGTATCAGATCCGTTGCAGCCCCTTTTTAAGAGATCATTTGGGTATGGAGGAAAATAGAGAGGGTTGTGTTTTCTGACACTTGGTGAGTTCCCTGGAACACCGGGGACACATTCATGTATAAAGGACGTACACAAGTGCATGATAGGTCACCTTTAAGTATAATTCAACTGAAAAACCAACAACAACAAAATTATTTAAAAAAAAAGTAATAATAATAATAAAAAAATAATCGTTTTATTTCGATTACGTTGTTTTCGTAATCATTGCAAGCCATAATCGTAATCGCAATTAAAATACGATTACTTGAGCAGCCCTAAAATGGACTCATTAAAATGTCCTCTTACTCTGAAGTTTGTCAATACAGAGTGGACAGGTGACTTTCACAACTCTTGTTTTGTCCCTGAGACTTGCTTTTCTGCTCAAAAACACACACACAAACTTCATAGAACACCCACCAAGTCAAACATCCTTCCATTCAGTCCACCCTCTCTTCTCCTTTCCCCTTTCTTTTAAATATGATATTTGAAATTCAGTCACTGAAACACTCTCACAACTCCATTGGCAGCACTTACACCTCTGTCAAAATCATAATAACGTCAATTACTTGGAGGCTTTTACCATACACAGAGTTTATCTCAGTGTTTGCAAGCTGCTCTCATTGTACCATATTCATATTGTGACAGGACCTCACATACAGTTTACATATGACTCTATGCATTTGTATACAGACACAATGTGTTGCTGACATATTGAGATGAAATACTTGTTATCTTATCGTTGCTTGTTATGTCTATGCTGAATGAGACGGCTGTGTTGATGTTTGAACATTGGAGATGAAACTGAAGGAATCAGTCTGATGAACTGCGTTGGCTTTCTCCTCAGTAGGACTGTCAGTTCCAAAGATAACTAGTAATAAATAAACTAAAAATAATAAAGTAAACAGTTTGAATTCCCTTCAACAGATTTCCTCCCTTAATATAAATTCCCAAAATAACATAGATCTGCTTGGTCTGATTCGTAGTGCGTCTTCTCCTTACTTGTATGATAAAGGCAATTTTAGTCGTTGCAATGACTAACTAGGAGGTGTGTGGCAGAGTGGATTGTGCGTTCAGATCAGGGGGTCACAGGTTCAAACCCCACTGCAGTCAGCATGTCGTTGTGTCCCTGGGCAAGACATTTCACCCCATATTGCTCCTGTGGGGATTGTCCACAGTATTTGGTATGTAAGTCGCTTTGGATAAAAGCTTCTAACAAGTGACATGTTGAACTGATATCAGCTTGATATGGCCCCAAAAGCTTTGTTTCAATCAAAGACTACACATTTGGAAATTGAATTGACCACCATACAGATGAAATATTCTCTGTTTTACCATGTTTGAATGATCTTACATGTATGCCCATGACTTAGACTTTGACTGCAGCAATGTAATTAAATACTAACTGTGTCTATATCAACAAATGAGGCTTAAATGTAGATACAAACTATACCAACATCTTTAAAAACTGCAAAGACATGTTGGTTTAATGCAGCAGTTTTGTTTCCTGTGCTGCATATCAGACCCTCAGCAGACAATGAACACAGTCAGGAGGACTCGGAGTTACTTTGGTTAAACTGTATTAAGTAGTTAATAATTAACAATGACATCAGGGCTTGGGGGAGAGAAACAAGTTGATATCTTGGCTAGACTAAATGTTGAACATCATCTAATGATAAATGATCCAAACATACACACTGTGTTTATTGACTCAAACGAGACAACATTGGGTTTTCATTGACCATAACACGTGACTTTAAATGAACAGTGTGAGAGTTACAACAAGAACATCTGACACAGGACAAACAAATAAAAACCAATAACTGACACAATGGACACTAGTATAGTGTTTTTAGTATAGTTTAGGGTTTTTAGTCTGCTTTTTGGGTTGACATGTTTCACTTTTAATGATGCCGCTGCTGTGAAATGGGGCTCTAGTGCGTGCAGTTGATAAGTGGATATTAGTTCTAAACAGACTAATGATTTTTAGAAAGTGCACACTAGTTTTTAAAAGGAATTAATGTAACCTCTCCTCAGAGCTACTCCTCTAAGCATGCTCGCTACTTTTCTTGCAAATCCTCAGCTAAGCCAACACACTTGAGAGCGCGAGCAGCGAGCATTTCTTCAACCGAGCCGCCGAACACTCCAGATCTCCACATGTGGGAATCCGACAGTGATGATGTTTGCTCTGGATGCACACACCCACCCCACTCCATCTCAACAAGGGGGGACATTTCCATGACAAAGGACAATTATTGACTTTCATTGGCTCCGCTTGCTTTGATATCAGCAAGGGGTGTGTCTGTGTGTCTGTGTGTGCGTGCTGGAGGGGGGGGGGGCGGTTTGAAGGGGGCAAGCCGTGGAGGAGAAGAAGAAGAAGAAACAGGGGGACCTGATGAAAGGGACCGAGTGGGAAAATGCACCCGCTGACCCACAGTGCACTAACAGAAGAGGAGGATCACAGCGCAAAGAAAGAAATAATTCATTAAGGCTTTCTTTCTTTCACTCCTCCTCGCCGCTCCTGTATCCTTCCTCACTTTCTTGCTTGTGTTTTCTTTCTTTCTATATTCCCATCCTTTAACCTTCCCCCCTACTTTTTTTTTTACTGATCCTCCCCCTCTCTCTTCCCTCCTCCTCCCTTTACAGCCATAATTTAAGGGGCTGAAAGGCACGGCGAGCGGAGAAAGAGGAGAAGAGAGCTGAGAAAAAAAGGGGAGACCCTGCAGATGAGGGCCTTCCTTCACGGACGTGGCACAGATGTGAGGGTGTTTTTTGTGAAATGAGTCGGGGAGGGGCGGCGATAGGCTAATTTGCGTGGCATAAAGACGGGGTCCTTTTCATATGCAGAGCGCTACTTTGATGCGCGGCCGATGAAAGCTGGAGGGAGCGCAGGGTAGAGGAGAAGAGAGGGTGACGGAGGGGTCCTTTGTCCCCTGACAAGAAGGCATCTGCTCCAGGCTGCCCTCCTCTCCTCCTCTCCTCTGCCTCACCCAGGCTCCCACAATGGGCCAGCCGAGGGAGAATAGTGTCATCAGAGCACCTTAGAAAAAGCAGAACATGGAAAAAAGAAAAACAGCCGCTTGGGTTGGTCTGGTTGGTGTACGGGTATGCATATCAATACAGAATTCATTTGACAAAGATCTGAGAGAACACACACACACACACACACATTGAGGAATACGTACACATATGCACACTGAATTGTCAAACATACTGTAGACACATTAACATAGTTCCACAGCTGACAAAACACATCTTCACTTTGACTGATAGCTCCCATAGAGGAACAAATAAGCCATACAAACGTTCCTCTTTTAAGGGACTCAACATCAATGGCTTGCAGGGTGAAAGGTGTGTGTGTGTGTGTGTGTGTGTGTGTGTGTGTGTGTGGGTGGGTG